ATCTCATTACAGATGGTTGTGAGCCACCATGTGGTTGCTGGGAACTGAACTCAGAATTCCTTGGAAGAGCAGCCAGTGCTCTTAACCTCTGAGTCATCTCTCCAGCCCTTGTTTTGGTTTTTTGAGACAGGGTTTTGTTGTCCAACAGTCCTGATTGTCTTGAAACTCGCTTTGTAGACCAGGCTGGCCTTGAACTCACTAAGATTCACCAGCCTCTACCTCCCAAGTGCTGAGATTAAAGGCATGTGCCATTACTTCCCAGTCAGATTTTTTTTGTTTTGTTTTGTTAAACAGGGACTCATTTCATTTATTTCAGGCTGGCCTCAAATGTAATGTGTAGCTGAGAATGACCCTGAAGTTGTTAAAAAAAAATGTTATTTATTGTATGGCTTCTGGTGTTTTGCTTGCACGTATGTCTGTGTACCAGCTGTGCTGGGTGCCTGCAGAAGTCAGAGGGTATCAGATGGCCTAGGTCTGGAGTCAGATGGTTTTGAGCTGCCATGTGGATGCTGGACAGCAAACTCAGGTCCTCTGAAAGAAGAGCCTATACTCTTAACCACTAAGTCATCTTTCCAGCCCAATCTTTAACTTCTGATCCTCCTGCTGACCTCTCAAAGGTGTGGGGCACAAACCCAGCCCAGAGCCAGAACACGAGGCTCATGTGTATCAACGAAGACTCAACCAACGGAGTTAAATCTGTAATCCTACCTCTAAAAGATTTATTCATCTTATTCCATGTGTATTCATATCCATGTGCCCGCCTGGTGCCAACAGAGGCAGAAGACATCAGGCACCCTGGAACTGAAGCTAAAGAGATATAGGTGCTGGGAACCAAACCTGGATCCGTCTATGAGAGCAAGCGCTCTTAACTGGTATGATAAGCCATCTCTTAGGCCCCATCCTTTTCTTTAAAAAAAAAATACATATATATAATACATAATAATATATGTATTATATATATGTATTTTTTTTAATTTGGCTTTTCGAGAGACCTCTGGAGACTAAAGGCACGCACCACCACTGCCTGTCTGACAAGGTTTCTCTGTGTAACATCTCTGGGTGTCCTGAAACTCACTCTGCAGATCAAGCTGGCCTCAAAAGCCCAGAGATCCACCTACTTTTGCCTCCCCAAGGCTGGGATTACATCTATGCCTTATTTATCACGCCCAGTTATAGAGTGATGAGTGACTTTTCTTTTCTTTTCTTTTTTTTAAACAAAAAATTCTTTGCACACCATTTTTGTCTGGAGGCCAGAAAGTTGCTGTAAGAATCATTTCTCAGCTCTCAACAGAGGAATCTAAAATGGCTGAAAGACACTTAAGGAAATGTTCAACATCCTCAGTCATCAGAGAAATGCAAATCAAAACAACTCTGAGATTCCATCTTACACCTTTAAAAATGGCCAAAATCAAAAACACTGATGACAACTTATGCTGGAGAGGTCGTGGGGAAAAGGAAACCCTTCTACAATGCTGGTGGGAATGCAAGTTGGTACAACCCCTTTGGAAGTCAGTGTGGCGATTTCTGAGAAAATTAGGAAACAGCCTTCCTCAAGACCCAGTAATACCACTTTTGGGTATATATCCAAAGGATGCTCAATCATGCCACAAGGACATGTGCTCAACTATGTTCATAGCAGCTTTGTTTGTCATAGCCAGAACCTGGAAACAACCTAAATGCCCCTCGATTGAAGAATGGGTAAGGAATATGTGGTACATTTACACAATGGAGTACTACACAGCAGAAAAAAATAACGACATCTTGAATTTTGCAGGAAAATGGATGGAGCTAGAAAACATTGTTTTGAGTGAGGTAACCCAGAAACAGAAAGACAATTATCACATGTACTCACTCATAGGTGGTTTTTAAACATAAAGTAAAGAAAGCCAGCCTACAATCCACAATCCCAGAGAACTAAGACAACAGTGCGGACACTAAGAGAGACTTACATAGATCTAATCTACATGGGAAGTAGAAAGTAGAAAAAGACAAGATCTCCCGAGTAAATTGGGGGCATGGGGACCTTGGGGAAAGTTTGAAGCGGGGAGGGGAGTAGAGAAAAATGTAGAGCTCAATAATAATCAATTTTAAAAAATGTATTAAGAAAAAAGAATCAGTTCTCCGCCGGGTGGAGGTGGCGCCAGCATTCTGGAGGCAGAGAGGTGGGCAGATCTCATTGAGTTCAAGGCCAGCCTGGTCTACAGAGTGAGTTCCAGGACAGGCTCCAAAGCTACAGAAAAACCCTGTCTCGAAATACAAACAAAAAAAAGTTCTCTCCTTCCACCTTGTGGGTTAGGTAGGAGCTGGGAATCAAACTCAAGTCTTCAAGCTTAACAGCAAGAGTTGAACTCAGTGAACCACCTCACACCTCACCAAGCCTACAGGAACTTTTCTAACAATCACCCTTAGACATGACATAATCATGATGACTGTTATGGGCCCCATCCTGATCCAGCCTCACCTCCTGCTTAAGTAGCAAGAACTGCCTCTACAAGTTGATACTGAAAAAACACAATGTCGCCACTTGTAAGATACTGTATAGTCACTGTAACAACTGTCCCTCTACAAGCTGATATTGAGAAACAGAATGTAGCCACTTGTAAGACACTGTATAGTCCCTGAACAACTGTCCCTCCTCACAGGCACCAAGCTGCTCTTTTGTGAACCCTCTCTCATTTACGGCAGCCCTGAGTGTTCATGTCATCACTACCACTATGGCGGGTTATTAATAGCAGTAACACATGTTGGTGCGGGTCTCACACAACTCAGTACTCTGATCTCACTTAATCCTCACCACAGCCCTGTTAGGTAGCTGCTACCATTACCTCTTCACACACAAGGAAATGAAACTGAGAAAAAGTAATTTTACCAACTGCATACAATAACAGCTGGAGAGGAGATGAACCCACCCCCCACTGTCTGATCCTAGAGAATACCTTTAACTACTGCATCATTCTGTCTCTAAAAACACCTCTCACCACAGGCCTCTTGGTATCTATTTCCAAAGTTATAGGAGGAAGCAGAGTCATTTTTTCTCAATTACCTCGGCTTTAACAAACCTGCTTTTGAAGAAGTTCCTCCTTCTAATCAACACAGGTGGCCTCTGTCCTTTAACCCATTTCCTCTCATCATAAATACTGTAAAGGGAGTGATGAACACACTACAGTGGCACCCTTAAGACCTGACAAGACTATTTCCAAACGTGTCATGTTTTGTTTTGCTGATCATAGTCTTGCTATGTAACCCAGACTGACGGACACCTCCATCCTCCTGCTGCATTTTCCTAGTGCCAAGATTACAGTCTCCATCGCCACACCTGGCCTTCCTTCCCTTTTCTTTCAACTATAACTAGAAACTTTGCTGATGTCTATACACTCCTAGCCTATGTGCACGTCTCAAAAAAGGAAGTAAGAGTTTGATGTGGGGGCACACACTGTAACCTCAGCAGCATTCACGAGACAGAGGCAGGCAGCTGTAAGTCTGAGGCCAGCAAGGGGACTACCCAGAGGAACCTGTCTCAAAAGGGTTGGGGTGGGGATGGGGGGGGGAATCAGCAAAGGAAAACTGATTGTGCAAAACGGCAGGAGACTGAACAGGTGACACACGGGAGCCTTCCTTTTCCAGCTGCCTCCAAGGTCAATGATTCACACTGTGCAAAGATGAACCTAAGGCGATCGAGCCTTTCTTAAAATTAGCTTTGACCATTTATTCAAACTCAGGGCCCATACGCAGAAGACTAATGCTCTGGCCACTGGCTGTCCAGACAGGGGGAGACTACCCCAAAACAGGCTGAAGACAAAATGGCAGCAAAGCTAGTCTCCATCTACCTGACTGGGGACAGAGATGGAAGTATGCAGAGACTAGATTCTATCCTGTTACAACGAGTCAAGCAATCAGACTCCGGCAGCAGATCTCCTCCCAATAAAACTTTCATGCCACAGACCAAGGGTGACCCAACCCAACGGCAGCGGAGACAGGTTTTACATTACCTTTCTCCTCATCCTAATGACCTCACTATTTTCTTCTCACTCCTGGCCACACACTCCTCCACCACATTTCCAGAGACCAGCAGTAATAGAACCCCAAAAAGGAACAAGTCTCTCCAAAAGTAGAGTTACCACTTAACTAATCAAGTGGCCGGTTTTAATAGGTAACTTTACCTCCCCACCTCCCCCTTCCTTCAAAGGATTGGTGTGAGCAATGGTTTCATTTTCTGTTCCGGGAATCCTGGTACTTCCTAGAGAAAGAAAGCGGATTGGAAGACACAAACTCAGGGCCAGTGACAAGATGCTCCCTCCTCCAGTGAGACCGCCCCCGCTACGCCTGGGGGTGGAAGGCCCCACCTCTCTCCTCCAAGCTAGCTCGGGTCCCCCCTCCCCCTTCTCCAGCCTTCTCTCCACCCTCTCCCCACCTGCTGCCCTCTTCCCAACCTGCCCTTCCCAACATCCCAAAGCAGAGAGAAACCTCCCTGAGAACAGTGCGCAGCGGTGCCCCACCAGCAGGCCCTGATGCTAAACCCCAGTCCCCATGCCTCACGATGGGTGAGGGAGAATAACCACAGCAAGGCTTTTCTTTGGTCCCTCTAAAGCTCAGGCGGGGAGGAGAGGAGGGGGGAAAAAAGGCAGCATTCCTCATAGCCCTTAAACAGAAGGAAAAGATCCAAACAGCCACACCGCCCCCGCATCACCTCCCACTGGCCAGCTTGCTCCCCCTCAACCCCAACCCTTGAAAGCTCCACCTCTGCAGCCCAGGTCTCCACTCGGGCGAGGCGGAGGACAAATCTGCGGGCGCCCCCCGCCCCCACCCCTGCTCGGCGTCCTTCAGCTGCGGGGGCAGGAGTGGGGCTGGGAAGCCCCCACCCCCAGCTCTGCGAGAAGTGTCCAACGCACCTCGCCAGGCAGTGCTGACCGGACCACGGCAGGGGCTCTCGGGCTCCTCGGCTCCCACCCTGACCCAGCCTCTTCCCTGCCCGGACCCGCCTTCCCTCTCCAGCTCCGAACCTGTTCCTGCTCCCGGCGCCGCGGCTGCCACCGCCACCTCCGCCCCCGCAGGTTCCGCCTGGCTCTCGGGCCGCAGCCTCCCTCTCCCCGAGCCGACCGCGGCGACGCTAGTCCGCTGGCCCGCTCCCCGACTCCCTCCTTCCTTCCCTCCACCTAGCACCGGAAGCCGCGACGGCGACAGGAGATGTGCGGAGAACCCCACCCCCAGCCCGGGATACTTCCCACCTCCACGATCGCGCGAGAAGTGCGCGGTAGCGAGCGGCAGTTCTCGCGAGACCCATCACCATGGCAGCAAAAGCGGTCGGGTGCTGAAGTTGAGTCTAGGCGGGGGCCTGTGTGGGGGCTGGAAGATCCGGAGGCAGAGTGTGGAGATGAGGCTGTGGGGACTGAGGTGAGGCTCCCAACTCCAGGGCCTGGCCTAGAATTGAGGACTGAGGCCACATTCTGACTGCACTGGAAACTGGACTTGGGCAAGGGAGTCTCTGGGGTTTCTTCAGCAGAGCCAACAGTGGAGTATGGATAGCAAAAACCTTTGCTGTAACCTTCCCTTAACTCCAGTCTTTATTTCTAGTAAACCACACGCACCCCACCTGCTGCGCCGCTCAACTAATTCCTAAGGATAGTTTTTCTTGTGGTCTGAATCAAGAGAAATTGATGCATTTAAGCTACTGAAGTGGGGCTGGAGAGATGGCTCAGCAGTTAAGAGCATTGCCTGCTCTTCCAAATGTCCTGCGTTCAATTCCCGGCAACCATATGGTAGCTCACAACCATCTGTAATGAGGTCTGGTGCCCTCTTCTGGTCTGCAGACAGAATATTGTATACATAATAAGTAAATAAATAAATATGAAAAAAGAAAGATACTGAAGGAAACATCTGGAATCCGGGTCGTTTAGGAAGTTGCACTGGAAAGACAAAGGAGAGAAACGTAATTACTCAGAGGCGGGCCTGATGGAGTCTCTCTAGATGAGTATGGCTTTTAGTCTGCAAGGAAAGAGCACCCACGTTCCCTCCTTCTCTGACACTCACTTTTTTTTTTTAAACGTGATGGAGACACTGCCTGAGACTAGTTAGAAGTTATCTTAGAAGCTGCGCTAGAGGGGCCCTCGCTAGTAACAATGAGTGTCATGTTCTTTAAATGCATGTAGTTAGTATAGGGGAACACAGTTCTTCCCTAGAGTTTGATCCCAAATTACTGCTCTTACCTTCTTCCAAGAAATTGGCAGGAAAGCAGCCACTCAGTGTCTATCCTGTCCATCTCTGGTTTATGCACCCACCAGTTCCTCTTATATCAGTTTGTCTTCTCGCATATGTTTACCTCAAGAAGAATAACACGACTGGCCCTGGCCTGGCTCCCAGCACTCAGGAGGCAGAGGCCGGTGGATCTCTGAGTTCAAGGTCAGCCTGGTCTATAGAACACGTTCTTGGACAGCCAGGGAAATCTGTCTAAAACAAAAATAAACAAACAAACAATAAAGAATAGCATGATTGTAAAATATGAAACCAGAAGGCCCTTAATTTGAGGAGGTGAGAGATGAGGTATATGAGGGGCCTGTCCAGACTCACTGCAGCTGTGCGTCTTTCCTCTACTAAGCTCTGGGATGGTTTTGTTGTTGTTTTGTTTTTATCGTTTATTAATTTAGTGTGAATGTGCTTGTATGAGAGATTGTGGGTGCACTTGCTCCATAGCAAGGCGTGGAGGTCAGAGGACGCCTTTCAGGAGTTGGTTCTTGCCTTTTACCTTGTCGGTGCGGGATCTCTAGTTTCTGCTGCTGTGGTGCACACTCCCGTCCAGCTCCACTCAGTTCTCCTGAGTCCATACCCTGTCTTGCGGTCGGCGCGCTGCGACTACAGATGCACCACAGGCATCCCGCTTTTTAAAAAATATTTGTTGTTGTTTGGTTGATTTTGTCGTTTTGTTTGAGACAGGCTCACTGTGTAGCCCCGCCTGGCCTGGCACTCCCTTTTTAAGCCAGGCTGGCCTTGAACTCAGAGAATCTGCCTGCCTCCACCCCCTGAGCACTGAGATTAAAGGCCTGCGCAACACCGGGCATAAAGGATTTATTTTTAGTTATATGTATACACAGATGTCTGTGTGTGTGAGTGTGTGCCTGTAAGTGCAAGTCTTTGCTGCAGGGAGACGACTGTAAGAATCCCTAGACCTAGATTTACAAGCAATTGTGAGCTGTCCCACATGGGTACTGGGAAGCTGGTACTTTAGAGGCAAGAGCTTTTTACACAGGTTCCGGGGGCCAAACTCAGGTCATCAGACTTGTCTTGCTAGCACTTTTAATGACTGAACTATCTCCCTAGCCCAAACTCTGGGTTTTTAAAGGTAAAAGACTCCCCAAATATAGTTACAGTGTTGGCTAGTTCTGTGTACTCGACACAAGCTAGAGAGTCACGCAGGAAGAGGGAACCTCCATTGAGAAAATGACTCCATCAGATTGGCCTGTGGGCAAGCGTATCTGGAGCTGTCTCTCCCGCTCACCAGTTCCCAATTAACCACTCTGAGGCTTAATATTAATTACAAACTGTTTGGCCTATTAGGTCAGGCTTATTATTAACTAACTCTTACAACTTAAATTAACCCATTTCTATTATTCTGTATTTTACCATGAAGCTCATGGCTTGTTACTTCACATCTTGCTTTTCCAGTGGCTATTGGTACTTCCCCAACTCTGCCTTCTTTCTCCCTCTCTGCGTGAATTTCCAGCCTGGCTCTATTCTGCTCTGCCATAGACCAAAGCTGCTGCTGCTGCTGCTGCTGCTGCTTCTTTTGGTTTTTCGAGACAGGGTTTCTCTGTAGCTTTGAAGCCTGTCCTGGAACTGGCTCTTGTAGACCAGGTTGGTCTCAAACTCACAGAGATTCACCAGCCTCTGCCTTCCGAGTGCTGGGATTAAAGGCATGCGCCACTGCTGCCCGGCCAAAGTAGCTTCTTTATTAACTAATGGTAATAAAACATATTCACAGCATACAAAGAGACATCCCACATCAGGCAAGCCTGTGGAATATTTTCTTTGATAACTGATACAAAAGAACCATGCTCACTGTGAGATGTACCATCCCTGATCAGGTAGTTCTGAGTTGTATAAGAAATCAGGCTGGCCAGGCAGTGCTGGTGCATGCCTTTAATCCCAGCACTCAGGAGGCAGAGACAGGCAGATCTCTGTAAATTCAAGGCCAGCCTGGTCTACAAAGCCAGGGCAGAGAAACCCTGTCTCAAAAAAAGAAAGGAAAGAAGGAAGAGAAAAGATAAAAAGGAAGAAGAAAGAAATCAGACTGAGCAAGCCATGGGGAGCAAGCCTATAAGCAGCACTCCTTCATGGCCTCTGCTTTAGCTCCTGCCTCCAGGTTCCTGCTCTGAGTTCCTGCCCTGACTTCCAATGCAGTGATGTAATCTGCAATCTGTGAAATGAAATGAAATTCTTTCCTCCTCGAGTTGCTTCTGGTCACAGTGTTTTGTAACAGCAAAGAGACCCTAACCTAGGAGTGGGGTGATTGCTGTCACAGGTCTGACCATGTGTTTGGAGGGAAGGATTGTGGTGGTTTTTTAACTCTGGGCTAGAAAAGCCATTGCTCGCTGAGAGCTCAGTAGCCTGTTGTGGGAACTTAGAAAACGATGCTGAAGCTGTGCAGACAAGAGATGCATGGCCTGTGAAGTTACAGGGAGAAATCCGAGAGTCTGTTAAAGATTCTGTTTGATATTTTCAATTAAGAACCACTAGAGTAGCCAGTGGTGATGCACACCTTTAATCCCAGCACTCAGGAGGCAGAGGCAGGCAGATCTTTGAATCTGAGGACAGTATGGTCGACAGAGAAAGCTACAGAACAGCCAGAAGTACATAAAGGACAGGTCCCCTGTCTTAGAAAACAGAAGAGGAGGAGGACAGCATCACTGAGCTGAAATCTCCTAGTGTTCCCTCAAGGTCAGCAATAATCTGTGGATCAGACTGTCAGCTGCATTTGGTAATGTATGAGAGTCTCCCAGTCAAACCAGGCAGTGGTGGTGCATGTTTTTAATCCCAGCACTTGGGAGGCAGAGTTAGGCAGGTGTCTATGAATCTGAGGCCAGTCTGGTCTACAAGAGCTAGTTTCAGAACAGCTAAGGCTGTTACACAGAGAAACCCTGTCTCTAAAACCAAAAACAAAACAAAAGTCTCCCAGTCATTACTGGTCTTGAAGGTATAAAGGAGCAATGGAGAGTAGCTAAGGCTTAGCATACTGAGAGACCGTTGGTGAAGGGGCAGCCTTCATTGCAGTAGAAGCCCTCGGATTGAAGGAGTCATTGAAGTTGAGACTTGGCACCTTTTTAGAGTCCCTAAAAAGAGCTCAAGGAAAGCTGTGGATGAAGGAGCAGCCCAGTAGCAGCAGAACCTCAGCATTTTGGAGGTGCCAGTATCGTGGGACAACTGCCAAGGACAGAGGAACTGTGGGGTGGAGCTGGCCTGAGCCTAGGAGACAAACTGACAGAGCTGGAGAAATGGAGCTTTGGGGCCCAGAGAATCATGCATGGGTTCCAGCCGCCAAACGCTGAACTTTTTACAGTGCTAGACTTTGGTTTTGCATTAATCCGTTTGTATTTGCCCTGGTTTTTCCTTTTTGAAGTATGCAAAAGTACGTAGCTTAGTTTTTAATTTTATAGGACTCCACACTTAAGATACTCTGGAATTTTATAGAGACTTTGGATATTTTAGAGAAACTTTGAATTTTAAAAGAGTCTGAATGTTTTTAAAGATACTTTTTTTTTAATGTTTGAATTTTTAACAACTGTGGAAAATTTAAATGTTGGAATGTTTTATATCGTTATATTAATATCGACATGCCATACTGGGGGCAACTGAGAAAGGAAATGTTCTAGCTGAATAATGTGTTTGCAGCAAATTGACAAGAGGCCAGTTGTACTGGCTAGTTTAATGTCAACTTCATACAAGCTACAATCATTTGGAAAGAGGAAACCACAACTGAGAAAATGCCCCATCAGATTGGCCTGTGAGCAAGCCTGTAGGACACTGTTCTTGATTGATGATTGATGTGAGAGGGTCCAGAGCACTGAGGGCAGTGTCACCCCTGAACTGTATAAGAAAGCATATAAGGGCTGGAGAGATGACTTAGAGGCTAGAAACACTGATACTCTTCCCAAGGACCTGTGTTAGATTCCCAGCACCTACATGGTGGCTAGCAACCATCTGTAACTTCAGTCCCAGGGAATCCTACATCCTCTTCTGGCCCTTATGGTCACTTGTATGCATGTGGTAGCATGTTTGCCTAGAAAGCACAGGTCCTGAGTTTGGTTATCAGCTGTAGGGGGGATAGAAAATGACATGTAATCAAAACACTCAATAGTCATACCATAAAATTAGGTTAAAATTAAAAAAGCAGCTGAACCACCCATGGTGGTGCATGCCTCTAATCCCAGCACTTGGGAGCAGAGGCAGGTGATTCTCTTTGACTCTGAGGCCAACTTGATTTACAGAGCAAGTTCTAGGACAGGCAGGACTCCATAAAGAGACCCGGTCTCAAAAAAAGAAAGAAAAGAAATCAGACTGAGGGGCTGAAGAGATGGCTCAGCAATTAAGAGCACTGACTGTTCTTCCAAGGGCCTAGGTTCAATTTCCAGTCCCCACACAGCAGCTCACAACTGTCTGTAAATCGGTTACAGGGAATCTGACACCCTCACACCAATGCTTATTTAAAAAAAAAAAAAAGTAGAATAAATAATTTAAGAAAAGTGTTTGGTTTGGTTTTAGTTTTTTAAAACAGGGTTTGTCTGTGTAACTGTCCTGGCTGAGAAAAGTTGTTTTTTGTGTTTGTTTTTGTTTTATAAATAAATAAATAAAAGCAGGTTATGGAAGCCATAAGGAGCAAGTCACTAAGTAGCACTCCTCCATGGCCTCTGCTTCAGTTCCTGCCTCTAAGTTCCGACCCTAAGCTCCTGCTCTGACTTCCCTTAGTAATGGACTGTATAGTCTGTGAGGGGTAACAAACCCCTTCCTCCTCTGCTTGCTTTTGCTTACGGTGTTTCTCACAGCAATAGAACCCCTAAGACAGATTCATGCTGTGTGGCCTGTGACATACCTTTTATGTGATTATTCCCCTTTCCGTTTCTTTCCTAAAACTTTCTAACCACACTCCGCCAGGCTATACACCCCCGCACTCACTACCAAAAATACGCGCTACAACCTCTCACCCTACTCTCTGGTGCCCCAACCACAGCAGCATGCCGTGTGGGACCCCAACAAGGAATTGGAGCCTATTGATGAATGAAGACTTTAAAGTCTCTCATGGTTGTTTGCCACAGTGAAAAAAAAGATTTTAAAAATGGGGGCTGGAGAGATGTCTCAGAGGTTAAGAGCACTGGCTGCTCTCCCAAAGGTCCTGAGTTCAATTCCTAGCAACCACACTGTGGCTCACAACCATCTGTAATGAGATCTGATGCCCTCTTTTGGCATGCAGGCATAACACTCAAACCAAAATATATGTGTATATATATATACATATATATATGTATATATGTATATACACACACACATACACACACACACATAAATATATATAGAAAGAGAGAGAGAGAGAGAGAGAGATGGTTGGCAGCGTCATATGGCTACAAAGAATTGCTACTTAATTTGGGGGTGGTGGATGGGGTTGAGGATCAGATCTGTCCTTCACCCTCCTGCACATGGAGAAGAGGAAGTCAGCTGTAGCATCGGTTGACTGGCACAAGCGTGAGAAGTGCTACCTTGCTGACCGCAGCTACTGCCGCTACTCCGCCCGGAGGACAGATTGCTCACCCAGGGTTAAAGGAGGCCCCACAGCCTGGCCTAGTGCTCATCAGTCTCTCCTCCCTCTAGCTGCCACGGGAGCCCAGTAAAAGCTGAAACTGTAGCCACCAGCTCTGTGGGTTGCATACTCCCACCCTGTCACTGACCCCAGGCCTGGGCCTGAGCCCAGTGCCTGTGCCGGGAGGGGGTGTTGGCCTTGCTGACAGAATCCAATTGGAATTTGTCAAGGTTGTGGTTTGGGGCTTAAGTTTGCCACAGAGTGTGCGATGAAAGAAAAGGGAAAGCTAGCAGGGAAAGGGAGCCAAAGGGACTGCAGAAGGCAGAAACAGGAAAGGTTAAAACACTCCGGCCACAGCTCCACTGGGGAGTGAGGGCTCCCTCCTGAACTTAAGGCAACCCCATTCTGGATACTCCCTATTATTCTTGGTCTACCCAAGCCCATTCCTTACTTCGGTCCCTTCTCTCTCCTTTCCTCCTCTCCTCATTCACACATTAGGTGAGCAAGTGTCTGGCATCTGTGAAATTGTTGCCATGGAGCTGAGAGATGTCTCAGCAGAGGACCCATGTCAGGCAGCTCCTAACACCCTAATTCTTCAGTTCCAGCTGATTCAAGACTCTCTTTTGGATACTCATACAAGCACATATACACATATTTTTAATTTTTTAGACTTATTTATGTGTATGAGTGTTCTGCCTACATGTATGTCTGTGTACCATGTATATTCCTAGTGCCTGTGGAGGTCAGAATAGGGTGTTGGATCCCTTAGTACCGCAGTTACAGACGGTTGAAGGCTGCCATGTGGCAGCTGGAAATCAAACCCAGGTCCTCTGCAAGAACAGCAAGTACCCTTAATCATGGAACCATCTCTTCAACTCCACCCAAATTTTGTTGTTGTTATTTTGTTTTGTTTTGTTTTTGAGGCATTGTATCTATACAAAGTCCTGGCTATTCTGGAACTCACTGTGAAGACCAGGCAGAGATCTGTCTGCCTCTGCCTCCTGAGTACTGGGACTAACGGTGCACCATCACACCTGGCCTCCCAAAATAAAAAGGTTATTTTACTTTTTTATTTTTTTCAAGACACGATTTCTCTGTGTAATAGTCTAGCTCTCCTGGAACTAGCTCTTGTAGACCAGGCTAGCCTCAAACAGAGATCTACCTGCCTCTGCCTCCCAAGTGCTGGGACTGAAGGCGTGTGCCACCACTGCTTGGCCCAAAATAAAAAGTTTAATGTCATCATGGAGCACTGCTGTGATCCAACACTTCTCAAATTCAGTCCCTGGAACCCATGTGGTAAAAGGAGAGAGCTGGCTTCTGCAAGTTGTCCTGTGACTTCTACATGAGTGCCATGGTATACCTGCATCCACTCACATGCCACTCACACGCATGTGCGTGCACACACCCACAAATAAATATAGAAAAAATAAAGATAAAGGAATTATTTTACTCAGATTAAATACAAAAGAACAATGAATAAAGAACAATATATATGCAAATAATTCAATGAGAGAAAATAGTAGTTTTGCTAGAAAAAAAATCTCATTTTAGTTGGGCCTGGTAGGGCCCACTTATAATCCCAGTATTGAGGAGAATGAGGGAAACATATATATATATATATATATATATATATATATATATATATATATAATTTGCATTTGAGATAGAAAACCCTTTCGTATTTTCCCATCAGCCTTGCATGTACCCCCAAATTCTCTGGCTCAGACTTAGAGACAATGGTACCTGCTCTTCTAAGTTCACGTTCATTGTTAAGTGGTATTTAAGACTTGAAAGTCCCAGAACAGATGTGACCTTATATAGTAGAGAGGTCAATGAATGACAGCCAGAGGAGCAATCTGGCCCTGCACACCAGTTTGTGGCTGTAGTGAATACAGCTATACCCATCGATTTACATGTAGTCTGGGTCTGCTTTTGTCCATTCCCATGACCATAACTATTTTGGGTCTGTAACAGCAGAACTGAGCAATTATGGTAGAGGTGAGTAGATGGCCTAAAGACCACAATATAAATAACCTAGCATATTTACCATCTAGCCCTTTTTCAGGGAAAAAAAAAACATTGCCAACTTTTGTTCTAAGTAATGATGAAGAAGATACTAGGAGTTGAGGGCTCGGGCTGAGCAGGGGCTGGGTACATTTGGATATAAGTCTTACCACCCCAAAGTCCACCTTGGTTTACAGACTAAAAATCTGAATCAGTCACTGAGTATCATTTCAAATCCTTTTTTGGAAGTCAGCAGGATATACATAAAAAGTCACTGAGTACAGGAGTGTAGGCTTCACATAGGAAAAAGCAAAAAGCACAACCAAACCACAGGCTGCTGCCCCAACTGTGGCTAGACACATCTCACCATCTGCATCCACCAGCAACCAGTCCAGTAACTTCATTTATTTTAATTTCAAACAGGAACCAAGAATATGTCTCAGTACAATAAATTATCCATTCCCACCCTTCCTGCTGAAGAAGGAAAAAGAGCCTCCATGGATCATAGCTAAACCTTCCCTTTGGGGGGACCCTCTCAACAACTGAGTGGAAGGAGAACAATTCCTAGGAGCCTGACAAGACAGCCCTCTGAGGACAGTTGTCTGTCCTTTTCCAACCGAAAGCCACTCATTATTGTCACCCATGGCCCCACAAGAGGAGGTTCTTCTGGGTTGTAGTGGAGGAGTTTGAGAACCACAAATAGGAAGAGGTGGTCTCTTTCTATATACAGATCTTAATGACTCCACACAGCGTCCAGTGTTATCCTTCAAGGAAGGTGGGTGGCTAAATGACAGCCTCCCTATCTAAAGGAGTATACATCTGGGCCCAGGAGACCCAGAGGTGAGAAGAGGGGAACAATACAGTACATTTCATCTTAGTCCATTCAGGTGTTTAAGAACAAAATATGATGACCACTTCCCCCACAGAAGGCTGCTCATCGCAGATTTCACCAGACCCTACTCCCCCCCAAAGCTGTTTCCAGGTAGATACTTGGAGCTTCCAGGGACCACGATTATCCCTGGACAGAAATCAGAGCAAAGGGCTGAAAAGGAGCACCCGTCACACAGTGTTCTTCATTAGTCCCAAGGTGAGGCTCACCTTCACTTACACACATTGACCCATTCTGTGACCTTGCATTCATCACACAGCACGTAGCAGCACCAGTGGAAACGGCAGTGGCAGCGCTCCACCCGCGTCTGCCGGAGCACATTGTGCCCACGCCCACAGCACAGGCTGCCACAGCCATCCAACAGGCGGCTCGTCTTGTTACAAGCCCGGCCTCTAGTGCCTGGTGAGCCTACCGCAGGATCCCGCTCACAGAAGTCGGGAGACTTCTCAAAGTAGACTAGCTCTCCTGAGAGGCGACGAGGACGTAGGCGGGGCTGGAAGGCTCCAGAATTGCGGTTGTGGGTATCGATGAAGATGGCTCTGCCCAACCGCTCCCTCAATGCTGCCCCGATGGCCCGGAACTCTGGAGCTGCCCTCCAACAAGTCTTGAATTGACAGCTGCCTGACGTGCCGTGACACTTGCACTTCCGCTTCAGGTTTTCGGTCACCACCTAGAACATCAGAACAGCAAGAAGAGAAGAGATGGAGGGCGGGGCGGGGCAAATGAATACAGCAGGGGACACAGGAGAAGGAAGGGAACCTAACTGAAGAGAGGACAAACAGGAAAGTTAGCCACCAGCCCAACGACCTAAAGGTAGAGCCACAGGGGTTTGCTCATCTTTAATCACTAGCTGGTGACAGAGCAAGGCGATGACTCCCAGTTGTCTTAAATCCCAGTCCAGTGCTCTTTCCAGAGTAAACACAGGAAAGAGCGGAGTGTGGGGAAGGTAGCTGCTGGAACAATTTCTATGCAACGGAGTCAAGTACTAAGCACGTATAGAATACACTATACATGGGGCTGAAGATGTACCCCCATAGTTAAGAACTCTGGCCGCTGCTCTTTCAGAGAATCTGGGTTCAACTCCCACCACCCACATGGTGATATACAACTGTCTATAACTCCAGTTCAAGGGATTCCAATACCCTCTCTAGGTACACAGTGGTGCACAGACCTATACATGCAGGCAAAACAACCACACACATTAAATTTGTTTTGTTTTGTTGGTTTTTCAAGACAGAGTGTCTTAGAAGCTATGAAGTCAGTCCTGGAACTTGCTCTGTAGACCAGGCTGCCATACATAATAATTTTGAAAAACAATAAAATAAGATACTATGTGCTACCTCAGCCTTAATATATGGTAAGTGCCATCAGGCAGCTTCCTGGAGATTCTAAACATGTTTTGGGTGACTTACCAGTGACAAGCTTGCTAGTAACAAGTGGTGATCATCCATCATACCTCATCCTATTACTCTGTGGGACCTCTCAGGAGGGAGGGAAAGAGAGACTGAGGAAAGTAGGGTTTGGTGGCCACACCCATGATCACAGCACTCAGACTAAGGATTCTGAATTTGAGGCTAGCCTGTACCACATAGCAAGACCCCATCTCAAAACAAAACAAGACAGTAAGGGAGCCGCGAACACACACCCACCTGACGCCCCACCCTGTTGTTGTGGATTCTCATTCTCGCTTGGATGTCCCGTGGAGCTTCTCTAGAATCCAGGAAATCCCGAGAGAACTTCTCTCCAAAGTCCATGTCGTGGTTACAGCCACCCCATTCCCACGTGTCCTGGGGGCCAGGGCTGGTCCCTGAGCCGGAGATAGGGCTGGACTGTGAGTGTGGAAAACTCTTGCCCCGAGACAGTGCCTGAAGCTGCAGCAGCTTGGCTCGGAGTCGGTCCTGCTCACCACTGCCCTTCCAGCCGCAGCCACAGCTCACCAGCTTGCCCAAGCTGCAGGCTGTAGCGACAGCATGCATGACCCCGGCAGCCAGCATGGAGAAGGAGAAAGCACTTTCACGGAAACCTGGGGAGGAAATGGGTGTGAGGGTCAAGAGAAGGCTTGCAGGCAGCTGAGGGGAGAATTCAGGTGGGGAAAAACAAGCAGCCACCCTCATCATCCTCATATACTGAGATAGGGTCTTGCCACGTAGTCCAAGCTGGCTTTGACCTCTTGACAAACCTTCTACCTCAGCCTCCCAAGTGCTAGAATTACAGGTGTGGCCCACCACCTTGCCCAGCCAGCCAATGTCAGAAATTTCTAACTGAATCCCAACTCCATCATTTACCCTCTGAGTGATTTGGGACAATGTCCTGAGACAAGAAATAGCACCAAGTCTCAGTTCCCTCAGCTCTAATAAGAGACCCATGGGGTCAAGCTATCGCTAAAGCCAAACCTCTGTAAATCTGTCATTTTGGGGTGTGAATGTAAGAGAGAGCCTAGGAGCAGCGGTTTTCATCCTTCCTAATGCTGGGACCCTTTAATACAGCTCCTCGTGTTGTGGTGACCTGGACTATAAAATTATCTCATTGTTACTTCATATCCACAATTTTGCTACTGTTATGAATCATAATGTAAACAGCTGACACGCAGGATAGCTGCTATGTGGTCCCTGTGAAAGTCCAGCATTCCCTGTAGGGGTCAACCCACAGGTTGAGAACCACTGGCCTAGAGAGCCCTCTGGGTTTCCAATGGGTCAGAGGGAGTCCTGAGGACTTTTGAAGGTGTGTTCCAGGAGTTCTACATCTAAAAGCCTTAGAAATTCCCCCACCCTGCAGGAAGGTTAGCAAGAGGTGAGGGGTGGAGGGGGAACCTTTGGTTTTGGGGTTCTCCCCCCCCACTTTATTAAATGAGTCTTAAGCAAGCTACCATGTACTACCGCAGTAACAATCCTAACACAGGGACTCTCCACCCCCTTCCCAGGTTCCAGTTTTATATTTGCCCTTTATGTTTATTCTAACCTGCTATTACCTTATAAAACACTGGCAGGAGGAGAAAGGCCAGAGTGGTTTTCCCCAAGGCCCTTTTAAAAGGTTGGCCTCTTTGTTATGTTTTGGGGGTCACCAAGGAGGAGGTTCTGGGTGACAAATCTTTACCAGGCTTCGAGAGACATCCTCACCGTTTGGCTTCAAACCATCCCACTACACCAGGCTCTGCAGAGAGGGTAGGGTCCCTAACTTGGTTTTAAGCAAGGGCTCTGGAGTATTGAGAAGATGAAAGACAGTCGGAGGCCAGGCGCCTCTTACCAGGGAATCTAGGACTCCAGGGCCAGCCTCAAGATCCCCCGACCATCCAAGGGTGAAGCTGTTTGCACACGTCTTGGGAATTCCCCTGCAGATGGCAGCTGCCTATTAACCCCATAGTCCCCAAAGCACTACCCTACCCTGGACTGAGCCCCTTGGATCTTTACTCCTCAGGGAGGAAACTCCAGTTGAGCACAGGGAAAGACAGTGGAGCCTCCCAGACCTTTCCTTCTAGACCAGGCCAGCAGTGACCTGCTCTAGGCCCTTCCAGCCATTCCTCACCTGTTCAGGTGAGGGACACCTGGGGCCCCCACAGCACAGAGGAGGGGGCTGCTCCCCAGCTTCAAAGCCATCAGGGTCTTTGTTCCCAGCTTTGGCTCCTGGGAACCCCAGCAATTAGGGGAGCAGGTTTAACCTTTAAACGGTTGGGGGCGTCACCCCACCCCCGCTGAGACTCTGGGGACACCCGCCTGGGCTTGTCCGGGTGGAGAGGGAGGGGAGAGAAAATAAGGGGTAGAGGGGGTGTTTGAAGCTCCTTGGGTTGGGGGGCATCTCTTGTTCATAGGTGGATCCCAGATCGAGCTGGGTGGAGGCAGAAAAGGGAGGCCCTAGGGTAGGGGGAGCAGGGACCCAGATGCCTCGCCAGCAACGCAGGTGGAAGGCAGGCAGGCAGAGGCCCAGCCCAGACGGGTGACCAGACCCAGCTGAGCGCGGCTCCTGGGGAAATTCCCGGAGAGGCCCCTCCCGCAGCCGCGAACCGGTCCCTTCCCGCCTCCGCGCGCCTCGGCCTGCCCCCAACCCCTGGGCGGCAGCACAGACAGCCACCCTGACAGGCTCACCGCGCTTGAGGATGGCGCTGTGATGCGGCAGTCGGCCGCCGCCCTCCAGTGCCGAGCAGTTCCAGCGCTGGTCGCGCAGCTGGTGCTGACACTCGTGAACAGCGATGTGCAGCCCTTGCAGCGCGGACGCCGTCACGTCGGGGCTACGTAGGCACAGGCCCAGCTGCCGCTTACTCAGGCCGGACAGGGTCAAGCACACGGTGTTGGCCGTCAGCGGCGGCTCACCGGGAAGTTTTAGGCCCAGAATCTCATTGCTTAGAGCCCTGAGAACAAGGGACAAGCCGTCTCGGGGGTCTGTGGTCTAGTCACACGCCCCCCAACTACCCTCTAGCCCAGGACGGTGCTTTTTCCCAAAACCGGAAAAATGCTCACCGACTGAACAAAGCCAAGAGCAGGAGACCCGTGAAGCCCAAGGGCGGAGGCCGAGACCGGGGCTCCTCCAGCATGTCGAAGCCCGGAGGCTCCGGTGGGCGAATCTGTCAGCGCCTGGGGGAAGAATAGAATGGCTCCCTGGAACCGAAGGACGTTCTATTTCGGTTCCCTAAGCCACCAATGTGGCCCCACTGGCTTTTCTCACCCTTTCCCAAACTAAATAATAATAGTCACCCCTTGACTTCCAGTGTCTGGGTTCTGGAACCCTTCAAAGAGGAAGAATCCAAGCAGCTCAGGACCCTCGGAATGCCCCTGGAGTCCGACCCAGTCAACCACGACGCAGGGTCCTGAGACACTCACATGCGGACTTGAGACAGTTCCTCTCAGACCCTCGATCCCTCCTCACCAACTGTTCCCTCTTTGAGGGCCCCACGACTGATTTACCCGCCCTCACAGGGTTAGAGGGAGGGATCAGAAGGGGGTTCCCCACCACCTGGAGGGGCGTCGCCTCCTAGTGCTGGCACTACCAGGCAAGCTGTATTAGAATGGTCCGAGACCAGGCGCTCTAATCCACACTCTGATCTCTACGCCCAACAGGGGAAAAGGTCAGGTTCACAAAGGTTCGCAAAGGCGACAGAGAACCCAAACGCGGGTGGCTCTAGTTGAGTCCACTTCCCCATCCATCCCCATTTCCCAACTACACATTCCCACTGGAGAGCGCCACCCGTATGGTCCCCATGGATCCCACCCCAATCCCCACCCCTTTGCTGGCGTCCACTGCCCTGTAAGTCCGAAGGCACTCCTTTATTCTGTGGGTATCTCTAGCGATATCTCTGGCTTTCTCGGGGAGTCTGTGCTCTTGAGGGTGAACGCTTGCCTGTCCGTCTGTCTGTCCGCATGCCTATCTAGTCTCTTCCCACCCTGTTCTCTCCCGCCCCATTACCTCCAGCGGTTCAGGTGCAGGATCCACAACACTCGCAGTTGGGTTACTTGGACTCCGCTCGTGCCACTTAAATCGTGGGGAGACTGGATCGGGTTCGGCCCCCTCGGCAGAGCAGCATTCTTCCAGCGCTGGGCCACTCCTCTTTGCCGCTTCTCCAGCGTTGCCGCGGCCGCCCGGAGGAAGGGAGGGTAGAAGGGAGGGAGTGATCGAGACAGCTAGCGAGCGAACCCGCGACAAAGCACCGGGGGCTTTGGCTGGGCTCGATCTAACTCACGGGTGGTTCTGCTGGAGCTGACAGAGCTGCGGCCCCTCCCAGAGCCCGAGGCATCCCCACCCCACCCGCACCCCACCCCCAGCCTTGACCAGGGGAACGCAGCTGCTCTCCCCCAAAAGCGCGCGCGCGCGCTCGCGCGCGCGCACACACACACACACACACACACACACGCATACCCTCTGCCCCGACGCCCGGGATCACGATCAGATCCCCTTCAGGGGAAAGTGGCCGGAGCTCCTCTCACCTGCTCTGGGGTCGCCAAGGCTGTCTGGAGAGTGCAGTGACCCTCACTAAGGCGCCAGGATCTGGTCCCAACGACAGTATCTTCCATCGTTTTTCTTTGCCTCCGCTTGTCCTCCAAGAGTGGAGGACTAGAGAGCCCCTTTAACACGCTGAGGACCTGAGGACCAAGCTGGGCGACCTTCGGGTTTTTGACAGTCTCTTGTAGAGCCCACGAGTCTGTGTGCACTAGGGCACTGTGAGCCTGCAAGTGAGGAGCCACAGTGCGGCTTGACTCCCGCCCACCTCAAAGCCACGCGCCTGCCCCTTGGGAGGGGTCAACTTTGGCCTCAGAATTTGGCCTGGTCAAAGGCTCGGGTAGCCCCAAAGATCTCCAGTCCGCCCCTTCGCTTTCCTTCTGTAGTAGGCGTTCTCTCCAGGGGTCGCCTAACCAGAATTCCTGATTGAACTCTTGAGATGACCCAGATTCACGTTCCTGCTCCCTGCTTGCACATTTGCTTCATTGAGCGAGGCCTTGGGATCCCAAACGGAGCCCAACTCCAGGGCAGCCAGAAAAGAGCCTGGCCTGCCTGGGTGCGCGCAGGCAGAGGCATAAATGCCTTACCTCTGGCGGCAGCGAAGGGGTTAGGCGCCACCGCACTCCCGCCTGACTCACCCTCCTAGCTCTAACCACTGCGGACTATTTTTGCCAGAGAGGGGCCTCAGGCTTCCCAACCACCCCCAGCCCCTGCCAGACCGCAGCCCCAAGCACAGCATGGCTGGCCCTGCGCACCCAAGGCACATTGACTCCGGGACGGACGACTCCCCAGGAAACAGAAGCTCAGGGCTGCTACCCACAGCCACAACCACCTCTCCATTGGTGGTGGCAAGCAGCAATGCTGGGCTGTTAGCCCCGGTCTGCATTCTTGCAAGTCTTGTCTTGTGCTGAAGGGACACCACCGGCTAGGTGTCTAAACAGTACGGAGGAGGTTAGGTCTGCCGGGATACTCAATGAATACTGGGGAGGAGAGCATGCTTGAGCCAGTATGCTAGACAGCCTGGGCCACAGTAGGGTACTCTTTCTGAGTCCACCACCTCTGGAGTAGGGAAAAACAGTCTAGGACCTCCTAAACCTCCTTATTTAGGGGGAAGAGGGACAAACCATGTATGACTTCCAAGGTGGAAAAATACTATCTCGGTATCTTCCCTTCTTACTCCAGAACCCAGGATTCTTCTTCCTGCCCATCAGCCTGGGACTCACCCAGGTCCCTGGAAGGATATTTCATATGCCCTTTCCTCCACCAGCATCTCTTGCACATTTGTGCTTCTCCACATGGCCGTGGTCCCATTCATGCTTTGAATTTTATTTTGTCTTGTTCCTATTTGTCCCCTCTTTGATGCTGTCATTGTGTGGTTCCAGCATTTAGTCAGATGTAACTAAGGGGCTAAGGCAAGCTGGGGAGTGGTGGCCCACATAGTTACTCCCAGCACTTGGAAGGCAGAGGCAGGTGGATCTCTGTGAGTTCAAGGCCAGCCTGGTCTGCATATTGAGTTCCAGGACAACTAGGTCTATGTAGAGAGACCCTGTCTCTAAAAACCAATAATGACAATATTGACGGGACACGAAGGAAGATTAGCAACCAGAGGCTCAACTTCTCAGTGACCTGGGGGCTCCCCAGGTTGGACTGTCCCAAGTCTAAGAGCTCACCCTGCAATTCTCTGTCCTTGCTGAAGTCTAGCTCTTGGATAGAGGTTATAGCAGGCAGTGGGTGGCCTGAACTGGCCTATGGTGCCCTCCTGCCGACCGTCTGGCCTGAGCACTGACCCACAGGCAGCTAGAGGGCGGTGGGACAGGCGGGGCCTGGAGAGGGCTGTGGGTGCACACCCATTGCCTAATACCCCAAGCACGCAGCCAGCTCCAAGAAAGGGGAGGGGCAGGAACCAGAGAGACCTTGACAAGGGTTGGGACCAAGACAAGAGGGGGAAGAAAAGGGGGCTGCCATCACTGCAGGAAGGAAATAAGAGCAACCTGGTCCACCTTCTGTTTGATGAGAAAAATAGAAGGCTCCTCTTCCTCTCGTGAGAATGAAGAGTGTAGCGAAACCCTGTAGGATGATCTTCGAAGCCCTGAAGGGTGGAGGAGCGTCAAATAAACGAGTGGGGGCCTCTGGAGATGGGGGAATCAAGCAACTGAAGCGGTGACTAAAGCCAGGCTACACTCGGGAATCTCCTCCTCCTCCCCTTCCCTGATGTTTGCCTTGGCTGGGGTCTTGGGTGACTCATCTGTTGCTAAGCCGCTGATAGGGGCGGCCAGCCCAGGGAACCCAAATTATAGGCCCGGGAGGGATGGATGCGCCTGTGGCGGTGAGCTCAACCGTGCTGCCTCCCTCCACCTCACGGGTCTTTCATTGTAGTACCGAAGGCTACCACCCAGAGGCGCCAGAGATGTTGTAGACAAACCTGCTGGATTCCAAGGAAACCCCCCACATTCAGCAGTTCGTCCCAACAAATCTTGTGAATCACCCTGGGAATTTTACCCCCTTGCCCATTAGAGACCCATGGATGGGCTGCCCATTCTCAGCCGGAAGGGTGGTGCCTGCTGCCTGCCTGTGCTTCAAATGTAAGAACTCCGAGCCCTGGTTATAAGCTCTTTCTAGATCCCAAAGTCTAAGCGAAGCTCCCTTTCCACACTCCATCACTTCTCCCCTGTACCTATTCCAATGAGCCTGTTCTGCTGCTACTGTGTTTCTACTTCAATCCTTGGGCTTAGCCAATCCTTGGACTTAGTCCAATCCTTGGATTTAACTGTAGCCACAAGTGACAGAGAGCTCTAGGTAACCTGCACCTAATAAGGAATCTGAGGCCAGAAGCCTGGGGAGATTAGCAGTGAAGAGTCCTTGTTGACCTTGTAGAAGCCCCAGGTTCAATCCATAGCACCCATGGGGGCTCACAACCATTCAGAATTCTACTTTCATGGGCTCCAACAGGCATGAGTTTGTTGCACATACATGCATGTAAGCAAAGCATTCATACTATAAAGAAAAATAAGTAAATTTGACAAATAAATTTTGAAAAGAGAGAATTCAAGACCAGCGCTAGGCCATGCCTTTAGTCTGAACACAGGAGAGGCAGAGGCAAATGGATCTCAAGGAGTTCGAGGCTATGAGGCTAGCCTGGTATACTTGGTGAATTCCAGGCTAGCCTGAAATACATAGTGAGACCCTGCCTCACACCAACAATAACAAAATTCCAAGACAGAAAGGTACACAGACCCTGAAAAAGGAACATGCCTGGTATTTCCAAAGGATAGAAAGGCCAGTGAGAGGAATAATTCTCCAGGGGAAAATTGGTTGGCTTTGAGATTGAAGAACTGGGTGATCTAAAGGAACTCAGATCCAAGGAGGCCTCCTAAGCCACTGTAAAGATTTTTGATTTTGCCAGGCAGTGGTAGTGGTGCCCGCCTTTATATCCCACCACTCTCCCAGTGCTCAGAAGACAGAGGCACACAGATCTCTCTAAGTTCAAGGCCAGCCTGGTCTACAAAACAAGTTCTTCCAGGACAGCCAGGACTACACAGAGAAACCGTGGAAAGATTTGATCATGGAAATAATTATTTGTTTACTTTCTAAATTGTGTGTGTTTGTAGGTGTGTCCTTGGAGGCCAGAGGTGCTGGAGTTGTGTGTCCTTGGAGGCCAGAGGTGCTAGAGTTACAATACAATTGTGAACTACCTGAAATAGGTGTAGGGAATTGAACTCAGGTCCTCTGCAAGAATGGGAGATGCTCTTAACCACTGAGCCATCTCTCTAGCCCCAACCTCATCTTTAGAAAGACGGTCTTGGCTGCTGTTGGCAAACAGACTGTGGTGGTGGGAGGGACAAACATGGAGTTTCTATAGAAGAGGTGACAGTGGCTCCTACCACCATGCAGCAGCAGAGGCATGAAAAGGGATCAGTTTAACATGAAGTGTAAAACCTATAAGCCAAAGGTTGATTCCAAAGTTTAAAATCAAAAGATATATATAGCCAGATGGTGGTGATACACACATTTAATCCCATCACTCAGTAGGCAGCAGCAGGCAGATCTCTGAGTTCGAGGCCAGCTTGGTCTAGAGAGTGAGTTTCAGGCCAGCCAGGGCTACACAGAAAAACCCTGTCTTGGAAAAAAAATATACTATTATTATTTTACTCTATGTGTGTGGGTCCTTTACCTGCATGTCTGTACACTACATGTATGCCTGGTGCCTGCAGAGGCTAGCAAGATTTTTGTCCTGAAGATGAAGGCCAGAGCTGTCACTTACTGAGCTATAAATGATCAAAGAAAGAGAAAATTTAATAACGGCAAGATTAAGAATTTAGTGTTGGGGGGCTGGAGAGATGGCTCAGAGGTTAAAAGCATTACCTGCTCTTCCAAAAGTCCTGAGTTCAATTCCCAGTAACCACATGGTGGCTCACAACCATCTGAAATGAGGCCTGGTGCCCTCTTCTGGACTGAAGAAAGAATACTGTATACATAAAAAGCAAATAAATAAAAATTTTTTTTAAAAAAAGAATTTACTGTTGGATGTGTGAATTTCAAGCTGTTTACTTAAGTGTTAGGTATACATCTAGAATCCATAGCCAATGTTATAAATCAGGAAATATGGGGGCTGGAGAGATGGCCCAGCAGTTAAGAGCACTGACTGCTCTTCCAGAGGACCCAGGTTCAATTCCTAGCACCCACATGGTGCTCACAACCAGCTGTAACTCCACTCCCAGGGTGTCTAATGACCCTTCTGGACTCCATGGTCCAGTCATTCCCAGTCATGGTGCAGGA